AGGTATCAGTGGTACAGATGTGTGTCTCTCCTTGGCACACCCAGTCCGAGTATCACCATGGCTTTTCTGACCAATCTCAATTCCAGCTTGCCCCTCTATGTTACATTTCCCCATCGCAAAAACCGCGAGTTTGTGTTTATCCATTGGTCATTATTGCTTCCTAATGGGTGCCAGTGGAGTGAAACTTTGGCACTTGCGGCTGCCTGAATATTGCCGGGCCAAATGGCCCCTTGACACGGAGATGCACAGCGGTGGAGATCAGACGCTTCGCTTCCGTCTGGAGTAGCCGTAATGTCGCGGTGATTGCAGCTTCTCTCTCTGACGGAGTCGAGGTGCGAGACGGTGTTTCGCGCCGACCTCTGCTAACACCACTTGCTGCCGCGATTCTTCACTTGCCTAAGGTTGCGAGGGGAGGAATATGGAAAAAAAAATTAAGGATATAAAAAAGCAGCCACCTCCATCACTCCCGTGTATCGCACAGCCTACCGTCATTTGCGATTTAGTCCTTTGTGCATTAACCCTTCTGTCTGTTTCGGTTACGTGCTGCACCACACTAAGGGCTCGTTTTAATTTTTAAAGGGTTGAATCAGTAATAGAAAAAAATAAGCCGTGCATTTCTTGTAAATATTGGCGCTTGGGGTGTTAATACGCAGTCTGACAAGATTTAGAAGCCTCGTTAATGAGACTTAACGTAATTAATGTTACGAACGAAGCACATTATTATTATTAAAGCACTTACATCATATTCTTGGTTCTTTCGGTAAAGTCACGTAGAAGGGAAACAATAAAATAATAAAAAATACAAAACAATAAAATTCTCACGACGTTTCGACTGCAACACAAGCAATCACCTGATGATCGTGAGAATTTTATTGTTTTATATTTTTATTATTTTATTGTTTCCCTTGTACATGACTTTACTGAAAGAACCAAGAATATGAATCATCTGCAGTCACGAAAGCTTTAAATCAAAACACTTACATCAAAACACTTACATCATGTCATTGCCGTGTGTTTTTACGCGACGTGGATGCAGTGGTGTCTCCCGAGCACACTTTGAATGTAACTTTACATTATTTTTATTCTGAATTATTTTTTATTATTTTTGCGAGTTAGCTTTTGAGCCAGAACACTCAGCCAGCACCACCGAGATCCAGAAACCCACACGTGATTAAGCCGGGTTCTCAAGTGTGGCGAGTTGACGGTGTCGCCGCGGTAAAAAAAACAACGTAAAATTTGGATTTTCACTAGATTGAGATGAAATCCAGCAATGAGAATATAATACATTGGTTTTAGTGGCCTGAAACAAACCGTCGTGTTTCATGGCCATGTTTTTGTTTATTGTAGTACGGAGTTAGACTGATGGCCTTAATCTTAGTTATCTTGTGGTTGTTGTTGTTGTTGTTTGACTTGCATCCCACTGGGATTTTTTGCACACAGCGTTGGTGTACGGTGCTATTTCAGGAATATTTTGATGTTTTTTTTCATGGATTTTCTCTTTGCACAGTCACACATAGTCACTTTAAGATGTTTTTCTTGTTCGTGTTTTTGCTTTTTTGTTTGTTGTGGTTGCACCCGATTCAAGAGCCGAATTGCTCACAGGGATATACCAAATAAATGGAACTATGAACTATGTGGGAAAGTGCACCCTAAAGTGTGGATAAAGGAGGTCACTTGAGTAACATCAGAAGTGGTTCTGCAGTATCCTCTTCTGCGGGCTACTCTCCATCACTGCTCTGCCAGAGTTCCAAATGGATTTGTTGTCTCGTGATACGACGTGATACGACGCCAATCGCACAATTTTACTAAAATAGGGCATTAGGCAAAGTATTTTTTTATCATGAAAGAAGCTTTCCACTTCTGTCAAGCAGCCCATTACAAACAGCTTATGTATCTTTCTTTAAGATGGGGAAACGTAGTTTTGGAGTGATTTGAATTGGTGGAACTCTAATGAAGACCCCATTCTTCGTTAGATCACCAACCATCAGCACTTTGAGAGGGTCCACAGGTTGCAGTATACAGAGTCGTTTTCTGACCTTTCTGTAATATTTTTTTGCGTAATATTTACATGAATTAAGTAGGTTTTCTCTGTCAACTTTGGATTCCGACCACATGCAAATGCAGCCAGAGGGGCTTTCCTGGATAAATAAAAGAATTGTTAACATTTATATTGTCTTCTTCAGCTATACCTTCTTCACTTTGCCTGTCAACCCACTTAATTTATTTCAGCACATTCTGCTAGAAGTGTGCGAATTAATTTCTACGCTAAATTTCCACTCATCTACACCGAGCTCGGTGTATGCATACACTCATCGTGTTTATATCAGAAGGTTTGTAATACTCGTGTATATAATTGGAGTGAGCTTATTTCAATTTGTTGCACGCATGCGATTCCCATTTAGCCGAGTTGCCCGGCTCTTTTGCAAGGGAGGTCTGTGGTGCAGTAACACAGCAGCAACAGAAGCAAAGATAAAAGAAATCTCAACGTTGCAGAGAGGGATTACAGCAAAGGGGGGTCCTTAAGAAATGTTGCACAAGGCACAGAATCAGAATATGTATTTATACTGGAGGAATCCGATGAGCTGTAAAGCTCTTCTCCACAGATGTGCAGTCGAGGCACGGGGCAAGAACGTTACAACAACAAACAGTACAAAAACACGATAGGAATGCAAAGTGCAATCAAGGTAAACAAATCACCCAAACACAAACAAATACAACAACTAAACCATCCCCATTCTACCAGGCGAAGCCCACTGAGGTATTAACTCAGTTTTCCAACGGGATGTTTGACGGTCAAAATCGAAGCGCGCTCGAATAAAAAAAAACCCAGTGCAAATGTAATGTGAGCACAATCAGCGTCAAAAAAAGGTAGGTACAGGTCCAAGCAAGCTCTATATTTTAGTCTAACAGTGACCTAAACAAATGTATTTCAATTAACGGGCGTATGGATTCTTGTTGGGTCAGTGAATCGAGGGGTTTGTTACGCGGTGTGTGTGGTTTGGGAGATTGCATCACCGCTTAAATGAATTGATAACCGAAGAAATGTGTGTATGGATTCCTAATAGATAAGTGTATTGAAGGATTTATTGACGGTCGAATGGACAGATGGCACAGATGGATATCCCAAAAGGGCAGTTGGAATATTAATTGTCCACTTTCACACGGCACAGCTTGGCCTAACACCCCATTCCCATGCACAGCTTGGCCTAACATTCCATTCCCATGCACAGCTTGGCCTAACACCCCATTCCCATGCACTCAGATGAAGAAACTGATGACGTTACAACTGCAGCTGAATTTCCAAAGACTAGTTTCCAGAAGATCGAAAAACCCGGTCTAGAATTTGCTTGCTTAAACAAATGCTCCTAGATAATAATGGTATGGAAAGCAGGTAGGCGGATGGACTAAGCATTATTGTACGCGTATGTCGGCTCACGGCACGGCAGCAATGCCTGCATGCGCTTTCAGGTGCTGTGCCTGTACGGCAGCGAAGGCTCACTGGCAGGAGGCCGTCGGGGCAGACGCACGTTCTTGTGTTTTGCATGGGTGAACGCACCTTGGCAGGGGGGGGGGGGGTGAAGGGACGCGGTTAGGCGATGTGTGCGCGGAGCTGTGAGGTTGGGGGGGGTATTGTTAGCAGGAGATTGCGAGACGGAGCCAGGTGCTATAGGCGAAGCTGTGCATTCCAACTGCCGAGAGGGTACACACACATGTTAAATATATAAAGATATCATCAGCAGCTGGCCTGTTATATCCACTGCTGGATGAAAGTCACCCGATACCATCGCCACGCATTGCAGCAGTTCGTCTGGCGCCTATCACATGGGCTGACCTCATCGCTCCAACTCTGCTCTGGCTGCCACTGGTGTTAGTGTAGCTGGTATGGGCTCAATGTAAATGAACCACAAGTATAATTGTGAATGAAAGTATTAATGGCCACGGATTGGGCCCATAGGGTCACGTGAGTGCCCAGGAGTCTGCGCCCACCAGTCGAGTAATCAATTCAGGGTACAGGGCACCTATTCAGATTCGGGTGAACGCTGTACAGGGGTTAAGCAGTGAAATGGTGTGAATTGGGGTTGATTGCTGTGCGTCTGGTCATAATTACAGATGCACGAATGCTCCTCAGAAGAACACTTTGCAATAAAGAGTTGCAGTCACACAATCCTCTGGTGTCCCTTGGTGGTGGAGTCATCCGATTCTCAGAAGGAGGGTAGAACACAAAGCAGAGTATCCACCCATCGCCTCCGAACTCATCTAAGATTGTTGTTGTTTTTTTTTTGTATTCATTAACTGGCCTGTCCCCTCATAACGAACATGGGAGGAGAGGGATAGGGTGGGCCGGTTACATTAGTATCAACCAGAGGCTGGCATAGCCTCGAGTGACGTATTGCGCCAAATGCCAATCAATTTTCTTAGCAGTCTATATGACATCGCTAACGTTGGTTTGTCTCTCTGATCCATGTCTTCCTCTTTCGGTCTCTCAGTACAAATCCAGCGCATACACAGCCCCCCCATGCCTATTAGCAAACTATCATTCTTTGTTCCATTCTATTGGTGACCGTCAATTTTTCTGACCGACATCTTAGGTGCACTCTTTACACGGCTCATATACAATAGCTTCTTTGCACGGTTCAAAGAAGCTATTGTATATTTGGATTTTTCCTCTTTTGGTCTCATCAGCAAGACACAGCGGTGCCATTAAACCACACCGCGGGCACCCCTTTACCGTTGACTTCAGGTTGCTTCGCAGCAGAGCAGAGTCCCTAACGACGTGAAGCTTCGAGCGGTGAAAGCGAGTGAGGTGAAAAGGGGTCTCGGAGACTTCAAAAAGCGCGGCTCTCAGAGCGCTCGCGCGTTGCGCCTTCTCTGGAAAGTTTGGGCGTTCGTGTCGATGCCCTCGCTAATAAACGCCGTTCTACCTCTGCTGTCTCTCTTTCTCCCAATTCTCCCCCCCCCCCCCCCCACCCGCTTCTGCTTCCGATGCTGCGTGTGCCAAGGGAGGCTGCGGCTCCATCCGCTTCCGATTCGGGTGGACGGAGGAGGAGGCTCGCCAGCGGGGCGAGCGGCTGCAGGCTCAGCGAGCGAGCCACGGGCCGCCCTCCGTCACACCGCGCGGTGAGAGACCTTCAGAGGGGTACGCACGGCCCTGCGGAGGGAGACAATGCCAAACGTTGCAACCAAACGTGGCACGCTGCCCACCTGAAGCTGGGTGATCCCAGGACCCAACGGCCGTGTTGAGATTCACGGTTTTTACGTGATTGTTTTTATGAAACCATTCGCGTTCCATTTTGGCAGTAGCCTCCTTTTCTGGGCTGATAAAGGTGAGACAACTCGACCAGAATCTCCTTGTTTAAAATAGAAAATGAACACAAACGCGGACAAAAACGTTGAGTTACGCAACAGACACTGAAATATTCATGGTGCGGTACGATTGACAGGGGATACCAATCAAGCAACGTGGTATAAAATCGGTAAACTGGCCAAGCCACGATTTGAGATTCACTTTTTTTTTTTCAAATTGGACAAAATCCAGACCAATACACTATTTCATTTAATTCGGCTGAGTGTGAGAGTCAGACCAAAACACCAATAAGATCCTGAGTGTTCCATGCTCATGTTCGACTTAAGAGGGCATTGTTAGGGTTGTACACATGTTGAACTTCTTTCGCAGCGTACATGGTGAACCGTGCTAATCGGAGGGTTGAGTGTGTATGCCCTATGTTCATCGAGACCACTTAAAGAGACGCAATTCTCGTGGGAAACCATCGATAGTCTGCAGAAGATAAGTCAGAACGTTTCCATGACCAATGGGGAACTGCTATAACCATTGGAAGCTCTGAGGTTGGGGTTAAAATTCCACTTTTTAGTTTCATGGTGGTGGTGGTGGAGGTAAATTTCTTAATAGGCCATCCCACTGTTGGTGTGCCGCTAATTGGCGCTCATTTTAATATCCTGGGAGAGATATTTACTTACTTGCACCTCGGACGAGTTTTTTTTATGGTGAGTCAAGCGTATATCCATAGGATCACCCACTGGTACATATATATGTACTACTATACAGTCAGTAGCTACTACTGCCTCACTGCATACTACTGTACAGTCAGTAGGTACAACTACAGAGTCAATCAATACTACTTACTCTGTCGACTGCAGGGTGTGTACGTATATACACGTATGCCGGGGTACAAATATTTTTTAAGGTGGGGGGGGCACAATTTTCGGAAACCTTTTATATCAACTATTTACCCCCCACTTTCTATAACTTTTTGGAGTTCTGCAAGCCTCTTATAATTTTGTTGGTGAAGAAATGGACAAGCGGCCCACCGGGCTTTCACAATAGCTTAGTATCTGTGTATGTACAGTGAGGGAAAAAGTATTTGATCCCCTGCTGATTTTGTACGTTTTCCCACTGACAAATAAATGATCAGTCTATAATTTTAATGGTAGGTTTATTTGAACAGTGAGAGACAGAATAACAACAAGAAAATCCAGAAAACGCATGTCAAAAATGTTATAAATTGATTTGCATTTAATGAGGGAAAGAAGTATTTGACCCCCTCTCAATCAGAAAGATTTCTGGCTCCCAGGTATCTTTTATACAGGTAACAAGCTGCGATTAGGAGCACACTCTTAAAAAGAGTGCTCCTAATCTAAGCTTGTTACCTGTATAAAAGACACCTGTCCACAGAAGCAATCAATCAATGAGATTCCAAACTCTCCACCATGGCCAAGATCAAAGAGCTCTCCAAGGATGTCAGGGACAAGATTGTAGACCTAGACAAGGCTGGAATGGGCTACAAGACCATTGCCAAGCAGCTTGGTGAGAAGGTGACAACAGTTCTCGCGATTATTCGCAAATGGAAGAAACACAAAAGAACTGTCAATCTCCCTCGGCCTGGGGCTCCATGCAAGATCTCACCTCGTGGAGTTGCAATGATCATGAGAACGGTGAGGAATCAGCCCAAAACTACACGGGAGGATCTTGTCAATGATCTTAAGGCAGCTGGGACCATAGTCACCAAGAAAACAATTGGTAACACACTATGCCGTGAAGGACTGAAATCCTGCAGCGCCCGCAAGGTCCCCCTACTCAAGAAAGCACATATACATGCCCGTCTGAAGTTTGCCAATGAACATCTGAATGATTCAGAGGACAACTGGGTGAAAGTGTTGTGGTCAGATGATACCAAAATGGAGCTCTTTGGCATCAACTCAACTCGCCGTTTTGGAAGAGGAGGAATGCTGCCTATGACCCCAGGAACACCATCCCCACCGTCAAACATGGAGGTGGAAACATTATGCTTTGGGGGTGTTTTTCAGCTAAGGGGACAGGACAACTTCACTGCATCAAAGGGACGATGGACGGGGCCATGTACCATCAAATCTTGGGTGAGAACCTCCTTCCCTCAGCCAGGGCATTGAAAATGGGTCGTGGATGGGTATTCCAGCATGACAATGACCCAAAACACACGGCCAAGGCAACAAAGGAGTGGCTCAAGAAGAAGCACATTAAGGTCCTGGAGTGGCCTAGCCAGTCTCCAGACCTTAATCTCATAGAAAATCTGTGGAGGGAGCTGAAGGTTCGAGTTGGCAAACGTCAGCCTCGAAACCTTAATGAGTTGGAGAAGATCTGCAAAGAGGAGTGGGACAAAATCCCTCCTGAGATGTGTTGCAAACCTGGTGGCCAACTGCAAGAAACGTGTGACCTCTGTGATTGCCAACAAGGGTTTTTGCCACCAAGTACTAAGTCATGTTTTGCAGAGGGCTCAAATACTTATTTCCCTCATTAAAATACAAATCAATTTATAACATTTTTGACATGCGTTTTTCTGGATTTTTTTGTTGTTCTGTCTCTCACTGTTCAAATAAACCTACCATTAAAAGTATAAACTGATCATTTCTTTGTCAGTGGGCAAACGTACAAAATCAGCGGGGGATCAAATACTTTTTTCACTCACTGTATATGTAAGATTTTAAAAAGAAGTTTTGAAAAAAAAAATTTGCCCGGGCAACGCCGGGTACTTCCCACTAGTGTATATATATAAATGTATTGTGCTGTTGAATAGTTTCATGCTGAGTGCTGTCTCCACCGGGTAGATTACACAATTATACTACCCAGCACTTTAAGTAGGATTTCTGCTGCAAAGCAGACATTCATTACGAAATAACGACCTGGTTATTAACACCATTTCTGTCTTGTTGTAGCCCCCAATGTAAAACCTTGGAAGTAAATTTTCCCCCCCGTAACGTTCGTTTTCCAAGTCTTCAAAAAGCCAAGTGTAAGCCCACGAAGGTGCTGTGTCTTGGCGGGCTCTCAGCCTGTGTAAAGTCATCAATCAACACATTAGCGGACGAGTGCAGGACACTCGGAGCCCCACCTCGGTTCGCAAATCGCATTAGGGTTCAACCATTCCCACTGCCAGTTCATTTTATTTGGGCAGTTGGGTTCACCACTCGCGCATCTTTAACATAGGCACTTTTGAACTGTACACCATACCCGATGAGAAATGTATCCCACTTGACGTTTCCATTTGTTTGTATTGCATCGGGGTTGTTGTTATTTATATATGTCTATCTGTCTTGCTTAATGTACAGCCGTGTGTCATTCCACTGCTGCGTGAAGCGTCCCCCGCGCCCCCCACATGCCGTGTCGACCGTGTGATTAATCAGAATCCGTATTTATACTGGAGGAATCCCGATGAGCTATAAAGCCCTTTTTCATAGATGTCCAGTAGGGGCGGGTCAGAAAGTTACAACAGCAAACAGTACAAAAACACGATAAGAGTGCAAAGTATAGGAAAGATAAACAAATCGCTCAAACAATTAAAATAAAAGTGAACTTTTTTTTTATTGCAGGTTGGGGAAGTGGGGACCCAGGACGAGTTCAGACATCACCACTCCCCATCGACGTATAAAATCCAAAATTTTAAATATTAACTTTCTCTTTACCTGCCATATATATTTTTTATTCGCCACTTAACTTTCTTACGCTATTCGTTACGCACGGTCGCACTTTATTCTGTGCGCGGTTGCAATTTACTCCACTCAGTCGGACGTCACGGATTTCTTTTCTCATTCCTTTTGGTCTGTTGCCCCTGCCGCCCCCCCCCCTCCTCCTGTAACATTGCACCGACGCCCACTGTATTGAGGGCGGTATTTGGACGTAAAGTGAAGATTGATTGATGTTAAACTTGACCGAGAATCACACTCGGGTCACCGGGTTCGGACATGCATATCCTGGTGGAACAAGCGCACCGCGGCTAGCCACCTATGGAGCAATTTACTAAATTAAACGTGCGATTGTAGCCGTGTTGCTGTTTTTTATAAAACGTAATACAAAAAAGGGAAGAACTGGATTCAAGGTTGAGTGCGCAAAAGCAACTGCTCAATCGCACTTGCCCCCATCGCTAAATACTGGATAAATATTACTTCTGATTTGGTCTTCTATAAAAAATATATATATTTTAGTCTCAAGCGGCATTCCCCTGCATCTGTTTTTTTTTTTTCTGGAATGAGCAGAAACAAAGATAAAGATCCCGCGTGTAGCCTTAATAGACCTTTTGCAGCGGTACCTAACTTTTTCTGTCACCTCTTGCCCTCATATTACATTTGCACCGATTTTTAATTGCATGCTTGACGTTTGCATGACATTTAAACACCCCGTTTGTTGGTTTTTTGTGGCTGTGCTCAGAAAGCCCCACAGAACTCTGTTATAAAATAGCTGGGTGACTGGCTAAGCGGGAACATCAGGTCAATACAATAAACTTAACTTTTGGAGAAAGTGCTGTTGCGAGCACCAGTGAAGGCCGTCATGCCACACGAGGGTGACCAGCACCATGCCCAGCCGCCTTTGTCTCCCGTGCGGCAAAGTTTACATGCCACACTCGGTACTCATGTGAGGCCGAGTTGAGCTAGGGGAGGCCCATGACCGGTTCAGATAATCATCACGGATGTTGACTGTGAGCGGGAATCGAACATACACACACGCATTTGGAATGAGTGCGGTGGCAGTGCACACCCATAATCCAGCAACTTGCACACACTGTTAGTAACATGCATTAGCTGGCCGAAAGCATCTTTATATACGCGGGGATGCATAGCTTGGACAATTGTCG